TGAGAGAGAAACATCGACCAGCTGCCTCCTGCACACTCCCCACTGGGGATGTGCCCGCAACCCAGGTACACGCCCTTGACCGGAATCGAACCCGGGACCCCTCAGTCCGCAGGCCGACGCTCTATCCACTGAGCCAAACCGGTTTCGGCAATCAAATTTCTTTGTTTTGCAAGAATATCTCTTTTTTCCCCTCACTGTCCTTCCCTTGTTCCCAGAATATCTTCTTAATCAGTGAGGTCCCCACTGGGATTCTCATCATCTGGAATATTCCTTCCTCAGAATCATAAATGCCTGGTCTTTTCTAAAGTTCTTCACTGAATTCCAGTTGCAACTGTTTGCTGCTTCCCTGTTGGTTCAATTATTCTCTTACTGTTGTTATCCTATTGTGTGATTTTTACTGATTTACATAAATAGAGGATTATGAAACTGACCAATGGTTTGTCTGCCCATACAGTTGGGCCACTTTGACTGAATATGACAAAATAGAGAAATCAACAATTTAGTGATTTGATCATAGTTAAGATGACTAAAAGGGTATATGTAGGTCAGATATGCTTTAAGTAGACATGCTCAATATATAATGAGGACTGATTTACTGTTCCTCACATTTTATATCTAAATATCTCAACAATTCTATAAAGTAGGAACCTGCTAATGAGAAGCCCCAGACACAGAGAAATTTTATGACTTGCCCAGAGCATGTGGCAGACTCGAGATTCAATTCAAGATTCCTCTCTCCTTCAGATCATTGCTCTTAATCATCACACACATCTTCTTCTCTCTGCATAACCCAACACCCTCCCACGCGAATGAGTTTGCCTCATTCAACCTGGCTATTTTAGCACCTTGTTTAATTTCCTATAATCCATTGTGGCACATCCTTGGCTGCATATTGGAATTACCTGAGAAATTTGTTTAACCCACGTGGTGCCTGAGTCCCACTTAGAGATGCTCATGTAATTGGCCTGGGATGTTGCCTGAGCTCCTGGATTTCCCAAAGTGTTTGGGAGATTCTAATGTGTGGCCAAGTTGAAAACCACTGCTCCATTGTTAGTGAATTAAGCTGTTATCCAAATAACTTCAGTTATGAGCTACTCCCTGCTTTTGTCCAAATGAAATTCTGTGTTTGAGGAAACTTGAGAAGTAATGGGTTGTAGCAAAAGTATAGAAGTTCCTGGTTCCTAGGAAATGTACTAGTAGGTCCACTCTTACTTTAATTAGCCTGGTTTAAAGAAAAAAAATTATTGCAAATCTTCCAACTCTAAGGGATAAATTTACCCTTAACATATGTTAAACTTATTTCTGTCCATGTTTATGAACTTGAAGATTTTTCCTAATTTCTCTTCTTTCAGTTGTGCCCATCAGTGGCTGAATATTGAATTGGTAACATGGTATCCATATAAAAGTACTTTAGGGATAGATATGTTAGGATTGTAAATATGTACTATTGTTATTACTGACTCGCAGAAATCTTTGATTAGAAAGTTAGTAATGTAATTATTTGCGCTTTTACTATAGGTTGGGTCATGTGTTTGACCATCAACTTGAAGAATGTTTGGTCACTACAGCTTAGCCGTCTTAATTGTGAAGCAGATCATTAGTGATTTGATTTCACCATGGCAGTCAGACTGGGTCACAGCAGAGACTAAATTGAATAGACAGCCGTTGTCCAGTTCAC